CTACCAGCATCGACAGAGAGGTCGGAAATGAATCTCCGCTATATCGCGAAAAGTATTTCTTTCCGATTCTCTTACGGGTTTCCCTGGAGGGATGTCTATTTTCGACCAATCTGGAGATACGTTCCCGATGACCTTTGAGGAAACGAATCGGCCTCTCTATGATATATAGTCTCGGCCAAAAAGCCTATATGCGCATATATGTCTGCGTGTGTATGAGGATCGTCTACGATACATCTCGCCGAGTCGAATTGGTCGGTTTTTGCCGACGCAAAACGCGGAACTAATTCAGAGGTCTCGCGAGCTCCGTGATGATTTCAATGCTAAATAACAAAGAACGTCAAAATATGGCACACTGAAAGACATTCGGCAAATTTACCGAGCCTTTCAATAACGGGATTGAGTTTTAGCCGAAAAGTTTCATCAGCTCGGCGATCGTATGGCGATTCATTAAACCTATTCGCCGTGTTCTTTCGGCTAATACGATTTTCCGTTGAATTACAAGAAATTTCGCGAGGCGCGTAATCACCGGTGAATTGTTGAAAAAATTAGATACGTGCGTCGATGCATAGCTTGCACAGTCAAATCGTGAAAGAGAAAAAGAGAGAAAGAGAGGAAAGGAGAAAGGGAAAAAGAGAGAAAAGAAGAAAGGAAGCAAGAAAGAGAGGGAGAAAGAGTTCTCGCTGCCTTCCTCCGGTAATTTTTATCGTCCTGAATTTCCTCTTTACACGACGATTTCTCTCCTTCTCGCGCGTCTCTCTTCGTCTCGGCTGGTTCTTTGCTCGTGTAATTCTCCTTTTCCGCTAACCGACGTTCAGCGAGATATCGCACAATTGGATCGTGCAATATTTCTCACTCGTTGTGAAATATTCCCGTTCCACGACGGTGCAGCGCGAGAGACGGAGGATCCGCCGCTCGTTACCGTACTCGAACAGCCGCATCTCGAGTGCAGTCTCGATCGCGCATTGTGCATACGTGTGATAAGACCGATAAGGTCAATATATGCGTTCTTTTCGAATATCCCTTAAGGACAGCCATCAATGTCCTTTGTTATGTTACAATCATTCAAGAATTTCTCTCTTCTCTCTCTCTCTCTCTCTCTCTCTCTCTCTCTCTCTCTCTCTCTCTTTCTTTCTCTCTTGAATCCATTTGCATCTTCGCACGGATCTCTAACGATACAGTCACCAACGATGCCGTTACATAATTGGATCCGCATCTCCGGCCGCGAAACGAGAATATTCGAACGAGGAACGTACACACGGCGGCGCGTTTAATAGTGATTTTAATTTGCGCGAACTCCCGAGGCGCGCCACTTTCGGCACGAGGGGCAAAAACGCACGGCCAGCCCCGAAAATATCACGACTGTTAAACGCCACTCGAAAGATATGTGCACACGCGGGCGAGTGGAGGAATCTCTCTCGCGAGAGGAGGAGAGAGAGATTGAGGAAGGGGGAGGAAGAATGATAAAAAGAAAATATAACTTTCCGCGGAGAAAACCCCCACGGCGAGACAAAGTATAAGCGAGAGAAGAAGGAAACAGAAAAAGAAGAAATGAGATGTGCAAAATTACTTATAAAAATTACCTCTCCCGCTTTGTGTTTAACGCGCGGCGTATAGCCCCGCGCGCTTTGCGCCGCGCGGGTACGAGAGACTGCAGCAGGTTGTTCGCGACGGCGGTCTGATTACTCTGTACGTAAATTCGGCCCTCACCCCCGGCGACTCCCGACCCTTACTTTGCTTACTTTCGCTACAATGCAGCCCGCGCGCGCGGAGTTCGCGACGCGAGACGTCTCCTCGGCCGAGAGAGCTGCAACGTTCCAGCGTTGCAGCCTCTCGCGTTGCTTCTGACGTCTGCTCCCTTTTCCCCGTGCGGGGAAACGGTGTACAGCGTATATATACAGCGCGAATTTAATAAAGTCCCTTCAAGAGACGACGCCAAAGGACCGTGTCTACCGGGTGTTCTGTCTAGAGAACGAGGCAGAGAGGAAGAGAAAGAAAGAGAGAGATAGCGACGCTTGTCTGTACAAGGAACAGGACCGTAACGAAAAATTAATTGAGTCGTGCGACGAGCTACGAGGCACGTTGCCGCTTGGCAAAGGGTTCGCCCGATGATTAATCGCCGAGGACGTAAAGATCCCGATAAGCGGAGGGCTCGGATTAAATTCGCGTCGGGGGACGGCCGGCGACAAATTTCGTTCGCGGACCGAGGTCCTCCCCTATCGGTGCACGGGTTTGCTCGTTGAACATCTCCCTCAGGTCGAACGATGTGTAGGAAAGGTTCCAAGTTGGCTGGGGCACATCGAGAAACGAACTTCGAGAAGCGAAATCGTACTTTATCGCGATTTCATTCCAATCTCGACTATCAAACGGCCATGTCTAACACCGACTATACGGTAACTACGGATCTCCTCTACTAAGGTTATCCTTTTCACTGTTATAAAAACAAAAAACGTGTGCTATTAGTTGGCACGTGAGTTTCTCGCTCGACGAAGTCTGGGAGTCCGAATTAGGGCCGGTTTGGCTTCTCAAAAGATCGGTTTCTCAACGTTTCTCGATGCCTTCCAGTACCACAAGACCTCCGAGCATTACTCCTACACTGAGAACAAGTACTTGAAAATCTCTTCGTGGAGAGATATGAAGTTTATATTCACAGAAATAAACTTCTTTCCTTGAAACGAACTTTATTTCTACGAGTAAACTTTATATCTCACGAAGAAATTTTCAAATATTCTTTCCTCAGCGTAGCAACCATTTTACGCCCGCTGTGAACGTCGGGAGCACCCGGTAGACGAGCGGGTAGACGGGCCGGTGTGCGCGGCGCAGTGGATAAAAGATCCTGCGGAGTCGGTATGTAATTATAGCACGCTCTCGCGGAAAATGCGCTAGAGAACGGTCGTCGCGTTTAAAGGTTATGTAGGTCAGACACCGGCCCGCCTTTACCGCCTATTCCGACCGGTTGACCTCGGCGATCCTTGATATTTGACAAACAGTCCTCGAAAAGCGAAGTAAAGGCAGGACGTCCGTCCATAAGCGTTCGCTCTCTCCCGCGGGAGAGTCGGCTAATTCGGTCGGATGGATGGACGAATGGATGGACAGATGAATGGATGGATGGATGGATCGACATCGTACTTACTTCTTCTTTTGCACGGTTCTTTTATATCGCCAACTTCCGTTTTATAATTGTTGATGAGACAATTTTTGGCAACGAACATCTACATATCCGTCTGATTTCCAAGTAACGATTATCGGAGTGACGAATTTTGCTAGTTTTTCCAGGCTCGCGCAATTTTTCTCTCGGAATATAACTGTCGATTAGGACAATGATCAAAAAAGTCTACGCGCACTGGGAGAAAAGGAATATTTTATTTCACTAAAATGATTGTTGTATTAGGCTCCAACCATATTTTTGTTCTAACGCGAAAGTGACAATAGCGACATGCATACAAGATTACTGTCACTAACATTACCTCATAGAATTAAAAAAATTAAATAAAAAAATGATTTTCTTCACGAAAATTTATAATAATGTGATTATAGTTACAAATACCGAGAATTTCTTTTCTCAGAAGAATCTTACTGAAAATATCAATGTTTGTAAGCTAAAAGAGAATGTCATACTAGCTTAACCGGTTAGTCGTTTGAAATGTTTTAAAAAAATGCAAAAAATCGTTCTTGCGTGTAAATGTACGATAAATTTTTATGTCATTAAGTTGAGAAGATATCTGATTAAAGCATTAATCCACTCGCCGTAATATATAAATTTTAGCTCTAATATGAATATGTGCCAGTTGTGCAAAATGCAGTGAATGATACATTATTCAATGAAAAATCTCGCCCCGCGTAATAAGCGGATTTGAAATTTATACAATCGTACAATGCCGTAACGTTAAATATTTTGACACGTAAAAAAGCGAATTGATTTTGATCTCGTTATTACTCGAGAAAAATCAGCGTGTTAATGATAATCTAATCTCGCTCCCGTCAATATCCTTTCGGGGAAGCTGTGTCTTCGAGGGACGTAGGAAGGCTTCATGTTAATGGGAAAATACATTAATTAGAAGGCTGAGAGGATTAACAGCTTAACGTGTTTTAAGTCGTTAGTTTATCCATTTTCCACTTCCTTATTCCGCGCTTTGTAATCCCATCGCGTTTGCTAGCGCTAAATGCATCCTGGACGGCGAAATAGAGACAAAGAGGAAGAGAAAGAGAAAGATCTTAAACGTAGAACGTACGCGTGTTCTAATATTATACTATGTGGTATCAATGTTACACAGAGTGTCTGACGCAAGGCACGACAGTATGCAGATAGATTAGAGATAAACTGGACATAAAATTTCCCTAATGTTTCGCAAACAACTACGTGAAATCTTGGGTCATTAATTGAAGAAGATTGGCGAATAATATCGCGCACAATATGGTGCAGGGTGTGACGGCAAATACGATTTCCGTTGAGTGTTTGTACATTGAGTCGTACTGAACAAGAAAGTCTTCTACCATTCTGCAAATAACCACGTAGATCTTTGAGTGATTAATTAGAAAAAATTATTGAATAACTAAAATAAATCTTCGTTATTTAAAAATGGTAGAGAACGTTCAATTTGACATAATATACAAGCACACAACGGAAAACGTGCTTAATCCTTTTTAATTTCAATTTTTTTGAATGAACAACTTTTCTAATTAGTAACCCAAAATTTCACGTGATTGTTTGCAAAATAGTAGTTTTTTGTATATTTTGACTTAATCTACCTGTCTCGTGTGTCTTGAGTCAGATACATCGTATATAATATAATACATAATGTGTAAGAGAAAAATAAGATTAAAATTCTGCGTGTGACTCGGCAGCAAACAATTCGCGTTGCATAGAGAAAAATTTACTTTGTACAGCGTCACTATCGATGATATAAATCTAGGTATATACCGGGGAAGTGGAAACATTTCCCGTAGGATAGAAATGTCGATAGAGGAAATCGACTGACGCGATATAACGGTTCTGATTGCAGGAGGCGTATAGAAAATGGGTGTGCAGCTCCCTGGTGCCTTACTTTGCTCACGGGGGACCGATGGACGCGAAAAGCCTGGGGGGCAGCTGGACCGGCACCAGATTAAGGCCCTGCCGATCCATCTGCCAGTCCGTGGAGCAACGTTGTCCCTACTTACTTCCGGGCGATCGTGCCCCCGCGTACCCCACGCAATACGCCGGTGAACCCACCTTTCTTTGCAGAGGTAAAGGAGACACAACTACCACATACATACACACATTCTCTCTATCTATCTATCTGTCTATCTATCTCAATCACTCACTCACACATACACACACACACACACACACACACACACACATCTATACAAAGCAGAAACAAAAAGAACAACCAGCAACGTATCGAGATTGTCGACATACGACTCGACTACTTCAGCTCGACTGCTCGAGTTCAATTTGAACTCGACTCTCTGTTCTCTCTTGACGAGCTATCGAAGAAGGGTAAAAATGTTCGTTGGCACCCTACAGCTTCGCAAAAGTTTGCGACACGGCGCGAGACACGGACACAGACACGCAGAGCGGCACACACGATGATAACAATGACGACGACAACAACAACGACAACGACGACGACGACGACGACAACGAACAACAACCACGACAACGTTCATTCCGGCGCGCGTCCGCGCCACTAAGACTGCGCAACACAAATTTGCATGTGAACGCGCGCGAGTGCATATAAGCGACGACCGTCGCCACGGTGGAACGCCCTGCGTAAACCCCGCGGAACAATGCGCGGACGACTTCGCAATATTGAGGCGTCAGTTGACATGCGCTTACGCGAGACGCGACGCGTCTCCTCGTGTGCGTGAAGTTCACACTCGGCCCTGTGATCGATGATTGCAGACCCGCGTAATTTCCCGTAACGACACCGGTGCTGAAATTTTCCCTCGGCCTTCGTTCGACAAATGCGCATATGTGATGTAGGATATCTCCGTGAGCCTTGGGCTCTCTCATGGACTCGGTAATCTCGATCCTCGCGTTCGAAATCGCGACATTTTGACGTAATTGTAGGAAAAATATGAGCGCGGCGAATAATGATGAGACACTTGATGAAAGATATAAAAGTGGGACGTTTTGCACACGCCATCGCGGATTATCCACTTACGTGACGTGCGCCCACACGCAATAATTATTAATTCGAGAATGAGGAAAGCGCGTGGGGAGACGAATAACAGCGCGAGCTAAGCGGCGAGGTTTAAGCTTGTCTTTGTCGCGAGAATTAACTGTGCAATTTCGTACGAGGCTTTTACGCCGTTGTGCGGAGCGCAAAGGGTTAATATACGCGAACGGACGTCCGAATCGTCGAATATGTCCCTCTATGTACTCCCCCTTTCCTTCCTTCCTCCTTCCTTCCTTCTTTCCGTTCTTTCTTTCTTCTTTTTCATACACGTCGACCCGAGTGTCGTAAACGCAGAGGAACGCCGTCGCGTTCGGATATAAACTGCGTTAAATGGAACGCGTGCCACGCGGTTATTGGAAGAGCGGACGTTCTGTCGAGCGTCGTTTTTACCTCTTTGTACGCGCCTCACCGAGCCCCCAAGATCGCACGATGGGATCCCCGCTCGAACGCAGTTACATTCCTTTACTGTTCGCCATTGCGTTTCCGTAGCAACGAACGGAAATCCCTCCTCCTATTTTACAGAAATTTCCGTGGCACGAAAAATCGCGAAATTTTGAGACGCGCTGAAGGGTGAAAATAAAACCCTGAGAAAGTGCACGGAGGAAAATATCGTTCTGCTGCTAAGAAAAGCGATTGGTCAACTTGCTTTCCTCCTTTTAAGTAAGAGTTGTCTTCAACAAAAAATATTTTTTTAACATTAATCCTAAAATATACTTATGCCAAATTTTAGATAATATACTCAAAAGAGAAGAATTTATTCTCTTTGCAAAAATATCATAAAATTTTATCGAGGAAACAATTGCTTCGACTCTATATAAAAAAGCTTCGATTCTATATATAAAAAATATAAGCTCTTTCTAAGCAAATTTTTGATTTATTTCAATATTCTCCACTGAAACTTAATATTCTTCATTGAAATGTTGAGCTTACTAGAATTCAGTTTGTATTTTGAACAAAGAGTACGGTCAAGAGTTTAGTTCCATTTTGCGGCATTCGGAATATTTAATTGTTTTCAGATAAAATTGTAGTTATTCATGAGTAGATTAAAGATATATAAGTAGCAAAGTAAATGAAATGGAACAAAAGTCCCATTTTATGAATAAAATAATACGGATTATAAATGCTAATAATACTTATTAAATCAAGATGACTTTTGCCAAGTTTTCCGATTAAATGTGATCAGCAAATAGCTATTGACTAATTTTATTAGTTACAACGAAATTAATCGACGATTAAATTAATTGTAGCTTGATAAAAGATCAATTAATAAATAAATTAAATCAATAAATACTATTAGCATTTATAATCCGTATTATTTTATTGATGAAGACTTCCATCTCTCTTCCATTTCTTGCAACATTTCCTGTACGTTTCTTATAAGGGTCCTATCATTTATTTCGACAAAGTACGTATCTTTTGGACCATTTTCTGCCAAATGGTGAGACATTGCTTCAATACTCGCATATCTTTAATTCACTCATGAATAGCTACAATTTTTTACGACTATTTCAAACATGTGAGGATCTTATTAAAAACACGTTAATTCGCGAAAAATCCGTACGTTCCTCAAAAACCACGCATCCTCTGTTTACCTGTCCCGCACCCCCTCGCCTTCTCCGACGAACCCACGCGCGTTGAAAGATGGGAAAACGGCGGCCTACGTGTCTCCGTGTCACCAGGTCGTTGGAAAACGCAATAATTTCAGACCCGAACATCCCCGAGACCGGCGGGCAGGCCGCGAGGGCGTTGCACAACAGCGATGACGACGAGTGCTGCTTCCACGTGTGCTCCGAGGACGCGCCAGGATCGGGTATCTGCGCCAACTGTACAGAGCCATGGAAACATGGCAGGGTCCACGACCCCTCGACGGCGCCCCACTGCGAGATCAACATCCCTCAGGCTGGTTTTACAGGTAGGTGACGCGCGCGAATTAGCCGAGGAGGTCGTTCAATTCGACTGGGAATCCGATGAATTAAGACGCGAAAAACTCTTACCAAGCAGCCACACACATATTATTCCGATCTTGACGAAAATATTCCAAACCTAATATTTATATCTTTTATAGTTTCTTTTCTTTTTATCAGAATTGATGATCAACAACTTGTGGTGAAGAGATTAATTCTAAGGCTTCTAATTCTTTCGAAATCGCGAGGTAAAATCGGCGAACGCAAATGTCCTGAACTAGCCTCTACATTTCCCTAACTTATAACTTCCATTGAAGCCAACGATCTTCAATTTCTCGAGCGATTAACTCGAGAGCTTTTAACCGTTTTACCAAAATCACGATAAAAAATTGACAAACAAACGCAAAGACCTAATGTTTGCTTTTTCCTCTCTCTTTCTTTCTCAATTCGATTACCCTCGTCTAACCCGAGATCGGCTTTCTCTTGTCGTCACAGGTGAACAGAATACGGACTCGCAGGCGGGCCAACCGGAAGTGACTACGGATCGCGGACTGGTCGACGGCGACGGCGACGGCGACGACGACCAGGACACCGACGGCGCTTCCTCATCCACCACCATCACTCCGACGTCATCGACGACCGTGGGCCAGCAGGACACGTCGTTCTGCGGCAGCGGCCGCATCGGCTCGATACCGAGCGCGTCCTCTCTCGGCCGATCGACCCCGCCAGTCGTCCTTCAACTCCTTTGGCTCTTTTGGATGATCTTGATCTTCTTGTCTGGTAACGGAGCGCTACGCAACAACAGCCTCGTGAGCTCCTTCGCTCTGCTCCGGCTGATCGGCTCCTCGTGCTTGCTTCTGAGAACGCGCCTCGGTCTCGAGGGTGGTAGTCTGCGTTTCGCTTTCTTCGGATCGCGCGCGGCCAAAATCGCCGTAGTGCGTAGCTTGCTGTTCGTCCTCGGGATGTCGCGGAGAGCGGTGATGAAATGCCGTCGTCGTGGGTGGTGGTGGTGGAGGTCCTGGAGGAGATCCAGCAGCCGACACTTCCGCTGGAAATCCCGACTGAAGGAGGAGGAACGCCGTCCTCGAGTCCTCCGGCGATTTGGAGGTCGAGCTCGGGGTCGCGCGCGCCTCGACCACAAGGACCCGGCGAGAGTTCCCGTCGCGATGCCTCGCGGGATCTCGAGGAGGATCACGAGGAGTCGTCGGTGGGAAAGGTACAGGTGGTGCAGTTCGCGCGGCGCCGACGATCCCGGCAGTTGTCGTTGCCGGCGAAAACCGCGACCTCCGACTGCCGACAAGAGGACTCCCGACGTCGCGTTCTGGCGATCCGTCCTGCGCGACGCGTCCATTTCGATTCTCGGGTTGTCCCCGAAGCTCGCGGCGTGTTCGCGTCGGTTTCGCGACTGGTGGTGCTGGTGGTTGTGGCGTTGGTGGCGGGAGTGCCGGGATACGGAGCCGCGGGACGCGTTCGTGTCCTCGCGGAGGAAGGATTGCACGGCGGTTTGCGGAACGCGACGGCGACGAGGAAGAAGAAGAAGAAGAAGAAGCAGTAGCAGCAGAAGAAGAAGAAGAAAGAGAAGACGGGGTACTTCCGGATTACTCGAGAGGGACGTCGCGTGTTCCGCCAAGTCGACGTCGAGGAAGGACCCGCCATAAAATGGCTTGCCTCGCTTTCCTGAATACGCAGGATCGTACGGGTTTTTTTCTATCGCGGCAGCCGCGAGCTTTCCCTCGCGGTGCCGACACTCGAGAAGCACACAGGGTCGATGATCGTCGCGGAGCACGAGGATCGCGCGGGCCCGATCGACACGAGAGAAAGAGAGAGGGGGGAGGAAGAAAGAGAGAGAAACAGAGAGAGGGGCGACGTCGAACAGCCGAGAGCGAGCACACGCAGAATGTCCTCAGAAAGGACGTCAGCGGATAGAAAACACCACCATCTCGTGCCGCGTGAGGAACGACGCCGACGGCGGGAGGCAACGGCTGAGGGTCGACGAAGGATTCGAGGTGCGAGAGCGGAAACGCGGTCGGCGGTCTCGTCGAAGGCGATTTGAGCGATCCCGCAGGTTGGAGCAAACGAGGGGATAAGGGAGAAAACAGGCGAAACGACAAAAACAGCAAACACATAAATCATCAACAACCGAGAACGAAGGAAACGTAATGTCTAGCGTTAATAATAATGATAATAATACAATAATAATGAATACAACAAAATAAAATAATGAATAAATAAATAATAATAGTTAATAATAATAATGAAATAAAAAATGATTATTAAATAATGGAGTAATAAACGGTATAAATAAATAAATAAATAAATAAAATAAATAAATATATATATATAAAAAGAGAGAGAGAAACACGATCGAAGAGTAATGTCTAAAGTAAACGATAGAATGATAACGATACAATTATTATTATTATTATTATTATTATTACACATTAAATTGCGTTATACACAAAGCGAGTGAGAGAGAGAGAGAGAGAGAGAGAGAGAGAGAGAGAGAGAGAGAGAGAGAGAGAG